AATGAGTTAAGGCATGAAATTTGACATGATTAAAGTACACATCTTAAGCTTTGAAACAAGTAGTAGATCACTTAAAACAGATGTGTGTGCTAAAAGTTATACTCTTCCGAAATTAGGCCTGTATTCTGGAAAATAATTAGTGAATAGTAACCGAGACCCAAATGAAAAAGTTCAATCTACGAGCTTCTTTTGTAATCCGCTTGAATCATAACGCTTCCAAACGCATACTCTAAGGGGTTAAAGGAAAGATTTTTCATGTTGCACTTATAGATCATAGTTATACTCGCTCAAATTTAGGTCTTTTTAGTCAATTAAATTTTCAAATAAGGACTTTTAACAAAATTTTCCAATTTTAAATCAAGACCTATAACTTTTTGGAAAAATTTGTGAAAAATATCTATTTGAAAATTTATTTAGGAATTGGTCCTTGCAAATGTGTCAGAGGCTGAGGTCCTTAAAGAAGATTAAATGTTCAGATAAAATTATGATATTGCCCTAAACTAAAATTTAAAAGAAAGATTAAGTTTCATCGAGTGCAACATACCATCCGTATGTGCAAATGAAAATCCCACTAAGTGCAATTGAACTTCCATTATGTTCACATAAGCCCAAGTGCAAATGAACTTCAACTGAGTGCAACATATGATCTATATATGCAAATGAAAATACCTCTTAGTGCAATTAAACTTCCATTTTGTTCACATGAGTCCAAGTGCAAACAAACTTCCGCTGAGTGCAACATATCATCCGTATATACAAATGAAAATCTCTCTAAGTGCAATTAATCTTCCATTATATTTACGTGAGAGTTGGTGCAAATGAACATCAACTGAGTGCAACATACCATCTGTATGTGCAAATGAGAATCCTTCTAAGTGTAATTGAACTTCCATTATGTTCACATGAGCCCAAGTGCAAACAAACCTCAACCGAGTGCAACATATCATCTATGTGTGCAAATGAAAATCCCTCTTAGTGTAATTGAACTTCCATTATATTCACATGCGCCCAGGTACAAATAAACTTTCACTAAGTGCAACATATCATCCGTGTGTGCAAATAAAACTCTCTCTAAGTGCAATTAAACTTCCATTTTGTTCACATAAGCCCAGGTGGGAACGAACTTCCACTGAGTGCAACATATCATGTGTATGTGCAAATAAAAATCCCTCTTAGTGCAATTGAACTTTTATTATATTCATATGAGTCTAGGTGCAACCAAACTTTCATCGAGTGTAACATACCATTTGTATATACAAATAAAAATCCCTCTAAATGCAATTAATCTTCCATTATGTTTACATGACAGTTGGTGCAAATGAACACTAACTGAGTGCAACATATTATTTTTATGTATAAATAAAAATCCCTCTAAGTGCAATTGAACTTTCCTGCCTAGCAGTATAGTCGCTTGATGCCCTGTCATTCGTGTGTGGCTTGCCCAAATTTCTCTCTTCTACTTCATCTTTCTTTTAAATTTTAGTCTAGGACAATATAGTAATTTTATTTGAATATTTAATCTTCTTTAAGAACCTCAGCCTCTGGCACATTTGCAAGGACCAATTTCCAAATAAATTTTCAAATAGGTATTTTGACCAATTTTTCCTAACCTTTTTTAATTTTTGCTCACCTACACTGAGTACTGGGAAAATCGTTGAGCCCGGCCTCCGAAATGACCAGCTTGTTTGGGCCTCTTATGCCAAAAATAAAAAACACAAAAAAAAGACAAAAAGAGGAAATCCATTTTGCTAGGCTCCAAGTCATCAATTACCCTATTCTTCTGCTCTAAGAGTTAACTCATATGAGAGTGCCAAGTTATATGTTTTGCCAATCTTCTTCTCGGCTGCTACACCCCATCCTTTCGCTCCACCTCCTTCGCTCCCCCTCCTTTGCTCAGTCCTATGTAGCAATTAGCTAATGTTGTCACAGTGTCACAAAATCACACGAGGGCGACTAACTAATGTTGTCAGAGTCTCACAGAATCACGCGATGGTACAGCAATATTACGGCCGCGAGATGAGGGAATTTTCATCGGCTTCTTATTTGACACGTGCCAATTTTAGATGAAGAGATAAAATAAAAATTGTAATACTAATAGTATTAGCTATCTTTGTAACAAAAATGCTACAATTTTCAATCCAAAAATGCAAGAGTAAAGTTGGCTAATATATATATAAAGCGTAACTTTCTATTTTTTGTAAAAGATTTCGTTAGAATCAAAGATGCTGCATTATATAAAGGAGTTAGAAACTCAAAGAATATATATAAATATTTATATATATTTAAATAGAGAAATAAGAACAATAAAAGAGCTGAACATTAAGCACATGCAAAAGAACAAGGGAGGATATTTTACATTAAACATTGAAATATAAATGTAACTATAAGAATTCGTATATGGAAGCAATTAGCAAATCAAGATCCACTTAGTTAACGTCATAACTGTCAACCTTTTAAAATTATGTAATTTTCGACTTTATTTAATGAGCCCAAAGTACATTGAGATGATAGTTTCATCAATTTATTCAATATGCTAACTAGTCATAGATCAAAATTTATGCACAATTAAATGATATTAATTTTTTTGTTGGGCTTCCTTTTAACTTTTCTCTTTTCATTCAAGCAAGCATTGTCCAAAGGCTACCGAGCACTTTGAGTAACAATATCGCCAGCTATTTGAAATCCCTAAATTCCCAATGGGTCTTCATTCAATGCTTATCACTATAATGCAGTCTAAACTATCCAAAATTTAATATGGATGGTTCATATTTAAAATTTTTAATATATAAATTTTTAATAATTAATTTATTTTTTAAAAATAAGTTAGTTATGACATTATATTTATTTTAAATTATGTATGTATTAAAACAAAATGTTGATTAAAATATATACAAAAATTTAAATTCAATCGGAACCATCTAAAATCGATCTGGATGATCCACATTGCGGTGCGCATTCCATGCTTATCATTGTGATGAGCATGGAATGTGCTTCCATTCCCAATCCACCGAAACTTGAGAAATGAAGAAAGCATTAATAACATCAGGCAAACATGGAGATATATATGAAAAGAAGAAAATATGTTGAAACTAAAATACCAATGAGGAGTCTCAATTTGCTGCTCTAACTAGCATCACTTGCTAATACAGTAATGAAAGCACATAATGATCCTTAAATTTTTTAGTTTCTTTGCTAACCTTAAATTCATTTGTACATTATCATCCTTCAACATAAATGCATGTATTATAAATGAGACTTGACCACAAACAATATTAATGGAGCGATAATGAAAATGTGGTATTTGATGAGACAACGGAATGAACTATACAATGCACAATTTCGCTTCTTTTTCCTTGCGTCACCTTCTTGGAAGGTCTCTGCAACTTTTTGATATGTAAGTGATTTATGTCCTTAATAAAGATTTTCTTTATAGAAATGAAAACATTTACTTTCACTTATGTTTATTATATATTACATCTGATCCTAAATATAAGAGCTAGTTGACTAATTTGAGTATATTTAGAAAATTAGTTAAATTAGTTATTTATAATTATTAGGTATTGTCTTCTCTAAAATACCATTTCTAATCATGTGTATTACTTAGAAGTACCATTTAATGAAACATTTAATATATACAACTACTACCAGGACTACCTAAAAATAAATAAATAAATGAGAAACAAAGTATATTGGAGTCTTATATTTAGGACCAAATTAAATTTTAAAATAGCTCTTATATTGAAGACCAGATGTAGTATTTTCATATCTAGCAAACAAGTTTATACTTTCATGTATATTAATCTAATGGCCGACGTCCTCGTTAAAGATGTTCTTTCTATAAATATATAGCCCTCAACGTACCAAAACCCCTTTTGATAGCTGCATGCTTTTTTTATTTTTTATGATTTGATTTTTTCAGCATACAATTTTTTTACTGTGTTTAAAAAATGTTCAAGAGTTTGCTCATTTTTCTTTTATTTTTTAATTATAATGTGTTTTATTTTTGGTGCATCTAATATTTGCTGTTTATTTCTCGTTGTTGTGAGTAATTATGTGTCTGAAAGCAGAGTATAGTATTTTCCATGAATATAAATACATTAGTTCCTTATGATCAATAAAATTTCTAAACGGGAACTTATATTACTTACTTATTTTTTGCCACTAAGTTTATTACTACTTCTGTTCCACATCCAATTCAAGTGAACATTTTATCCTTTTTATTTTATACTAGTGCAACTATGACTTTTGCTGCTTCAGTGCGACCAAAATATATCTCACAGCTTGAAGAATATTAAAAAAAAAGGTTCAAAATTAGTCGCTAAAATGATTTTCATATGTATTCGTATAAACTAGACGAACTTATAAAGTTTTGTTAGGATGATATCCTTCAATATGATTTTTGAAAGTGCTTTTAAAAATTGTACATAATGATCGCTTTGAGTCGCTAGCATTAAAACTTAAAATTGGATTATTAGATTGATTGTTGTGGCTTTTGAAATATACTTATGCAAAAACACATACTCTTTTTGCCACATAGAATGAACATTTTTACTTTCACATGTTTTTATCATTTTTTTTTTTCATATTTGGCAAAAAAGCACTATCTCCACTTCCACGCCCACTTCAAATTTTCATAGATTTGAAGTATAATTGAAATATATTTGGGGAGCCAAATATGCAAAATTAAAGGAATTTCCTTGAGATTTTGAGCAAATTTTGATTTTGCGAATCATTAGGAATTTCACTGAAACGAAAGTAGTTAAAAATAATTCGAAGTATTAAAAAATTGCTATTTTACTTTATTTTGTTTTAATTTCTTTTATCTCAATTTCGTTTTTTTTTTTATTCTCTTTTCTTTTTTTTCTTTTTGTATTTCCCTTTATACTTCTCTCTTTTAGGAACAAGAGGACCCATCATTTTGGAATTACTGGGGGGACCAGACGACTGCGTTTTTGAAGGGGCTGGAATGTTGAACAGAGGAGGTTGCGACTGTTTCGAAGGGGAAGAGGAAGCCGACGCTGTTGCTGGGCTCTCTTCTGGAGGCCGGCGATGGTCTTCGAAAGAGGAGGAGAGTCGCGCCGACAGAGGAGGCGGAGGAGCTCGTTTTCTTCGACTGGCTTAAGGGAGACGGAGACTCAAAGAGATTCAGACGGAGATTGAAGGACAAGAGGGCTGGATTGAGCACGCCGTTTCTGTCTGTGTTCTTCTTCTTAAATCTTTAGTTTTGATTCTCTTTTATTCGTTCATTTTCCTATTCTTTTTTATTCTACACTTACCTGGGCTGCTGTGAATTTGATTGTATTTATGTTCGGGTTGTTCTATACTTTGTTCATGAAAATGTTCAATTTATACAGTTTACCTTTTGGTTTGGATTTTGTGGTTTGATTATGGATTAGTGGATGATGTTTTTAACCTTTAGTTGCTGCAATGTTATGTTTGTTAGTTCACTTGTGAGCTTTGCTATCCTGAAAGATGAGAAATTTGATATCGGAAAGTTAGACTAGACCTTCAATTGAATCGTGTAAGATCGAGTGTTCAGGCATTGAATAACTTAATTTGCTTGTAGGATATAAATATACCCACCTGTGAAATGAACACAAAGTCATTAACCCTAAGCAGAGTTTACTCGTATGAGAGTGTCAAGTTATATGTTTTGCCAATCTTCTTCCATGTCGTTCCTCATAATTATTCAGCGCCCAATTTTTTATTCATTTACCAGTTGACACATCACAAATATATGTGTTATGTCTAATCGATAAACAAAAAGACTTGAAGAATAACTGACAGGTTTAATGTATATGGTAAAAATAATAATTGATTAATTGAGAGAAAGATTCTGGCCAAAAAATTGAGAGAAAGATTTAATTTCTTCATCATTCATTATTTCTTTTGATTCAACTACAAGAAACGTTGTAATTCAAACTACTAAATAAAGGTAAAAAAACCGAATCAGACCGGCTGGTTCAACCTAAAAACTGGTGAACCGATCTCCAGTTTGGTCTAGTTTGGTTGGTAGATCGGGCATGAAAGGAACCAGAAACGAAACCGATTAAATCGGTTTAAAAATCGTCTGCTGAGGTGGGTTATCCGGTCTTTTTCTTTTTTCCATGTCCTATGGGAGGAAGAAAAGGCAAAAGGAGAAAAGTCACAGATAAAACATATCACACTTGAAAGAAGAAGAATGAAAGCGAGGAGGAGGAAGAGCAGGATGAGAGGGAAAGGCAAAGAGAAGTTTCTGTAGGGAGCCACATCCGTGTTGCTTTTGTTTGAAACCCATTGAAGAAGAAGTGAGTTTTTCACAGAGAGGGGGGAGGGAGGTGGAAGGAGAAGAGATACGAAATCAAAAAATCCAACAAGAAGACAGTGGAGAGAGACACGAAAGCTGAGGTCTTGGATAACAACAAAATGAAAAGCTTGTGCAAAGTAAAGTCAAGTGTTACACCTCATGTATAGGCTTTATTTTGCAGGCCTAGGATAGCATGTTCTGCCCATTTTGTCATTTTTCAAAGCCTCATATTTAATTTAATTTTTTTTTTATCTCTCATGACATGTAAATTGTAAATACATATTTTATATTAAAAAAAAGATGACCGTCTGGCAAAAAAATGAGATGAATGCAATTTCTTTATTATACTACATAAAAATTTTATAATCAAGTATTTTTATATCAAATATAATATTTTGAATTTAATGATTAAAAGATTGTAATGATGAATATTTTCAATTATTTTGTTATTTGCTGTAACTAAATTATTGTTGTATTTTTTATATTTTGTTAATGTTGTTATATTTTGTTATTATTAATTAAATTATATTATTTTAATATAACTGATCTGACCTCGGTCTGACCATTAACCCTTAGACTACTTTCTCGACTGGTTTAATATACCCGATCTGATTTTTCATTCCTTGCTAAATAACACAAAAGAACTTAAAATTTAATTAAAAGACCAAAAATCAAACACCCACATATGAGATACTGAGACTAATTTACCAAAATGTATCTAATTAGAATCCTTAATACATAAAACAACATTAATATATTTCTTGAATTAGAATACTAGAAAGGCACTCCTCCTGTCTTTAATATAAGACTCATTTAACTAATTTGATTAGATTAAGGAAGTTAAGTAAGTTAGTTAATCATAAAAATATGACACTTTTTTCCTAAAATATCATAATCATCTTTCTTAATACCTTTTTTCCTTTTCTACTTGATTATAGTTGAGGGAGTATAAATAGGGATAATTTAGAAAAAATTGATAAATATAATAAATGGATCTTATATTTAGAACTAAAATTAACTCAATAATTAGATTTTATATTAAGGATCAGAAAAATATATTAGAAAGAATCTATATAAATTTCACAAATAAAATCATAGCATAAACTGAAAAATGTTAAAAATTAAATAACGATTTTGAACAGGCTAGCTCGTGGCTCAAAAGGTCAGTCCGTTTAAATTCGGCCCCATAGGGCCGTAATCTTTTTAAGCTCAACTGCCTTTCGGAAATCCCAAACTTCGGCCCTGTAGGCCGGCCAGATGGGTTCAGCCGCTGCACCCCATCCTGTGGCTTACCTCCTTCGCTTAATCCTAGGCAGCGATTAACTGATGCTGTCAGAGTCTCACAGAATCACGTGACGGACAGCAAAATTACGGCCGCGAGATGATGGAATATTCCTCGGCTTTTTATTTGACACGTGCCAATTTTAGATGATAAAAATTGTAATAGTAATAGATAGCTATCTTTGTAACAGAAATACTACGATGTTCAATCCAAAAGTGCAAAGTAAAGTTGGCTAATTATTATTTTTTTATAAAAAAAAAAGAAGCTACAGTAACATTCTTTTTTCCTACCCCTCCGGTCTTTAATATAGAACCAAATTCTTGAGCTGGTTTTCGTACTAAATATAAGACCTTTCTTATATTTATCAATTTTCTCTAAATTATCGTTATGGGTACTCCATCAACCATAATCAAGTAGAAGAAGGAAAGGAGGTATTAAGAAATATGATTATGGTGTTTTAGGAAAAGTGTGTCATTTTTCTTATAATTAACTAATTTACCTAACTTCTTTAATCTAATTAAATTAATTAAATGGGTCTTATATTAAAGATCAGAGGAGTAAAAGATATAGTTAGAATCAGAGATGCTGCATTATATAACGGACTTAGAAACTCAAAGTGTGTGCGTGAAGAAACGGGAACAATAAAGGAGCTGAACATTAAGCACATGCAAAAGAACAAGGAGAATATTTTATGTTAAACATTGAAATATAAATAGAATTATAAGAATTCATACACGGAAGCAAATCAAGATCCACCGTTGATGTCATAACTGTTAACCTTTTAAAGTTATGTAATTTTGGAGTTTATTTTATGAGCCCAAAGTATATTGAGATGATAGTTTCATCAATTTATTCAATATGCTGACTAGTGATAAATCAAAACTTATGCACAATTAAATGATGTTAATTTATTGGGCTTCTTTTTCATTTTTCTTTTCTCATTCAAGCAAGTATTATTCAAACGCTACCGGTCACTGAGATTAACAATATCACCAGCTGCTTGAAATCCCTAAATTACCAATCCGTCAAAACTTGAGAAATGAAGAAAGCATTGATAACATCAGCAGACATAGAGATATATATATATATATATGACGAAGAAAAGACGTTGAAACTCATTGTGGCCCAGGAAAGGTTATTCATTCTGTGAGACATATGACAAGAAAAAAAGGATTTTATGACAATTAAAATTGACTTAGAGAAGGCTTACGATTGGGTTAACTGGAGGTTTCTCAAACAATGCCTTGTTGAGCTGAATCTTCATACAAATTTAGTGGAAGTTATCTTTAGCTCCGTGTCTTCTGCTTCTCTCCAGTTGTTATGGGATGGGTATAAAGCTGAGAGTTTTTGTCATCTCGTGGGGTATGACAGGGTGACCCTATCTCTCCTTATCTCTTCGTCATGTGTATGGAGAAGCTGGCGCACCTCATACAAGAAAAAATCAATGATGGGACTTGGAAACCGATTCTGTTTAAGTAAGACTGGCCCCCCTCTCACACTTATTTTTTTTGCTGATGATATTATTACTTTTTTTTAGGCCTCACAGACATCAAGTCATGTCTCAATGACTCTTGTGCGAGCTCTGGTTTGAAAGTAAATGCTCAGAAATCAAGAATCTTCTTCTCAAAGAATGTGAACCACAATAGGAGGTCGGAGCTGAGTGACTTACTCGAGTTCACACTTACGGTTGATCTGGGGAAGTACTTAGGGGTACCCTTCCATCACAAAAAGGTAACAAAGGAGACGTTTCATGAAGTAGCAGCTAGACAAGGTTAAAGGAAGGCTCACAAGCTGGAAAGTCAATTCTTTATCTCTCCTGGTAGAGTCACCCTTGTATCTTCTGTCACCTCGGCCATCCCAGCTTATACAATGCAGACGTCGTCGATTCTGACAGGTACAACAGATGAGCTCAATAGATGCAACTGTAACGTTGTATGGGGTTCGACATCAGAAAGGAGACGAACTCACTTGATTGCTTGGGAGAATGTCTGTAAACCGAAGAAGGCAGGAGGTTTGGGCATTCGAGACGCTAAGGATCGAAACCATGCATTTCTTATGAAGGCAGGCTGGACCTTGATTAAGAAGAAGGATGCTTTTTGGGTTCGGGTAGTAACAGGTAAGTACAAGTGTGGCCAAGATACAATGCTCGAGAGATAAAAGAAGGTCTGGATCCAACATATGGTTGGGTATTAAAAAGACGTGGGATTAAGTGTCTGAGGGTGCAAAATGGGACGCGGCGAATCAGACTTACAGATGGAAATGGAATAAAGTGGCTTATTCACTGTTAAGTCCGCATACAAAACCATTTGAGATATTCTAACTCAACAGGGACCAAACAACTGGAGTAGATTATGGACACTTCACACGCCTCAACACGTCAAAACCTTTCTGTGGCTAGTAGGAAATAATAGGCATCTGACAAATGAGGAAGGGCAGAAGAGAATGATATGTGCCTGTGACACTTATAGCTGGTGCAACACCAGTACTGAGAGTATCCTCCATGTTTTGCGTGACTGTCGAGACACAACCCAGTCGTGGAATAATCAAACCAAAGCACCACCATTGATTTTTCTCCACTGATAGGATAGCATGCGCTTACTCATTCAAAGAAACAATTCTTTTTAGTTCCTTTCTCTGTTAGGATGTTCAACTTT